TTATTTTCTGACAAATTCAAGACCTGTTTGTCTGGGACAGTGTGAAAGTTATTGTTCTCATTGCTTTGACAAAATACCTGGCAGAAGAAACTTAAAGAAAAAAGATTATTTTGGCTCCTGGCTTAGGAAAAGGGTACAGTCTATCATGGCAAGAAAGAGCTATAGCAAGAATGTGATGTAGTTGATCACATTGCACCAACAGTCAGAGAGTAGAGAACAGACAGGAAGTGGGGCTGGGCTATAAAACCTCAAGCCACATCCTCCAGTGACCCACTTCTTCCAGTCTCCTAAAGGTTTCACAGCCTTCATAAACAACACTACCACCTGGAGACCAAATGTGCAAGCACATGAACCTACGGGGAGCATGTACATTCAAATCACAGTATCTGTTCATTTCTTCTTCTCTGCTTCTTCTGTCATTTTCGGTGAGATGCATATTCTTAGTTCCTTGCATATCTCATACTTTTTGTTAAAAGCTGAACATTTAGCCTGGATCTGCTCACGCCTCAAAGCTTTGCAGTGTTAATGCATCCCTCAACTTTAACCAAAGAATATTCCTTATGCAGCAGATGGTGATTGACACAGAAACTCAGAACTGGCCAATGTTCAGAGAAAAAGAAGCCACAGAGTGCTTACCTCTGAATAGGACACCTATATCAAACTCTTGCATCCCAAGGCACAAGGATCACTGTGGAAGAGTGAGCAGAAAGATTGTAAGAGCCAGAGGTAATGGAGGATCACAAGGAAATAGAGTTTTCCAGACAGCTGGTCAGTTACTTGTATGAACTCACAGCAGTGGTGACAGCATGCACAAGCCCCATTTAAGCTAGAACCAAACAAAATCCAGCATAGACATAGGAAAGTGGGTAAGAAACCCCAAGTCTATCTAAGGAAGTATTAGCAACCGGTGACCAATGGGAGATGGAAAGTCAGTCTTGTTTAAATGTGAGACTATTGGTAGGTTGATAGGTTGATCAGTTCCAGTGGATTATGAATCCACACCAAAAGGCATCTGGGGACACAAATTGACTTATTGGGTGGAGAGTAGTAAGGGGAGGTGCAGATAGGGACAGGATCTAAATATGATTAAAATACATTGTATGAAAAATAAAAACTGGACATTTAGAATGTTATAAAGTGGGAACTCTAGAAATCAAATGCCCTTCTCAGGGTTCACTTTTATTTGTTTAAATGAATGATTGAACAAATTATGATACTGCCACCAGATAGAATAGTAAGGTTCTATTTAAAATAATAATTATGAAGCCAATGCACCATGTAAAAATTTTAGGATTACATCCAATGAAGAAACCCATATGTGGGGCTGGATAAATGGTGTGCTAGATAGCTTTAGTGTCAACTTGACACACCTGAGTTTAGGAAGCCTCAGCTGTGGAATTTCCTCCATTGTGCTGTCCTGTGGCCACGTCTGTGGGGCATCTTCTTGATTGTTGAGGGATGTGAGAGGGCCCAGCCCCACTGTGGGTGGTGCCACCCCTGGGCAGGTGGGCCTGTATTGTATAAGAAAGCAGGCTGAGCAGGGGCCAGGGGAGCAAGCCCAGTAAGCAGTGTTCCTCCATGGCCTGTGCTCCAGCTCCTGCCTCTAGTTTCCTGCCCTGAGCTCCTACCTTGGGCTCCCTGATGAACTGTGACCCAGGAAATGTAAGCACAACACCAGATTTGTACAGGCAGAGGCTGTTTTTGTACTTTTACGACCTTCGAAGTACTAATCACCCTGCTGAAAGGATGCCTCTGTGGATTTCAAGTAGACTCCTCCAGCTTCCGAGTTCTCAGATTCTACAGCAGAGAGATGGCTCCAGAGGCCGTTCCATCCATTAACCTACAGCCCAGAACTATCAAACTGGAGTGAGTCACGGTTGAGGTCTACTTCTGGTGCAAAGGAAGAAGCTACCTTTTGCTATGCACTTTACCGCATAACTTTACTGAGTTGAGCCTCCTGAACTTGTGGTCATTCTCACATTCCCAAAGTAGATCAGTGTTTTGACAACAGGTTCCCTTAGGATAGCACTAGGCCACTGCCCTCTGAGTCTTCTCATAGAGTGAAAATGAGTTTTCTCTCCATTGCTGACCTGTCCATGAGAGGAATCATAGCCTCATCAAAACCTCTGAAAGGATTTGAGGTTTGTGAGTGGCATGGGATTATTTTGAAGATAGAACTGCCCATCTCCTTCCTCAGTGTGGCTGGGCTTTTTGGATAAGGCCTCTGGTTTCCCTCCCCCTGCTGGAGAATAATGGGGCTGGAGCTGTGTTCAGGGAATAGTATTTGAAAACCAGTATCTTGGTGGTAGATGTGCTCATTAGCTAGTGGGATGCCACTTCTAGTTCCTTTTAGTGGACAGATGTGACAACTAGAGGTATACAGACACTCATCACTCTCTTGACAGATACACACACACATATATTTTTCTTTGAAAGCGAGCATATCAGCTTTCTGTTTCCATCTAACACCATGGGGATCATTTTATACTTCCTCCTTTTTATATATTTGACTTAAAAAAATTATGTGTATGACTGTATTGCCTGCATGTATGTAAGTGCACCTGTGTCATGCAGTGCCTGTGGAGGTCAGAAGAGGGCATCAGATTCCCTGGAACTGGAGTTATGGATGGAGTTAGCTGCCATGTGGGTGCTGGGAATTGAATCCAGGTCCTCTGCAAGAACAGTCAGTGCTCTTAACTGCTGAGCCATCTCTCCAGCACCCCTTTTAACATAATTGTAAATGTCTCAGGCACGAAAAACCTAATTCCAATTTTCTTCAACACACTTACTTGCTCAACCATTTAATATGAGACTGTTGTCTCCCTCTTCACCCTGAAGATACTGACACATGACAACTTTCACTAGATCTGGTTCCTGCCCTGCTGCTACAAGGCTAGGAACTCTTCATGTAGCAATCTTAGCTACCAGGCACTATGACAATCTATCTGCCTATTCTTTTTCTCCTATGGCTACTCTACAAATTGTAACTAATTATCAGGTTACAGTTTCATGTTGCTATAACTCTATCTCAATGCAAACAGTTTATAAGGTGACAGATATTAAAGGTGTCTGTTTGGATTCTGGTTTGGATGAATTGATGCCCCCTTCATTGAGATAAGAAACACTACAAGAGAATATAGGTTAGATCTAAAACTGTGTGTTAACCAGATCTAGAATTATTAAATTCCTTATGGAAATAAGAATGCCAAGTGGAAATATGTTAATAGGCAGCTGGAAATCCAAATCTGGAGTTCAGAGGTGTAAGAGATTTCTCTCTAACTGCATAAAGATTTATGAATGAATTTTAGAAGGGACAGAGAATGGGAAATAATAATACAAAATAAGATAGCAGAAGCCAAAAGTGGTAAATTTAGAAGGACAGCCAACTGTGACAAGCTGGAGGTTCATTAATGACAGGAAAGGCCTATTAGTTTGACTATGTGGAGGTCACTGGTAACTTTGACAAGAGTGGCTTCAAAACCATGATATAGACAAGTCAAAATGCAGAGTTCCAGGTATGAAAAATAAGGAAGCAGCTGGGCATGGTAAGGCATGCCTGTAACCCTAGCACTCAGGAGGTAGAGCAGGAGGACTGCTCCATAGATTGAGGTCAGCCTGGGGTATAGAGTGAAGCTCTATCTCAAAAAGTTTTAAAAAGCCAGGTATGGTGGTGCACGCCTTCAATTCCAGCAATTGGGAGGCAGAGGCAGGCGGATCTCTGAGTTCGAGGTGAGCCTGGTCGATATAGTGAGTTCCAAGAAAGCAGGGGGATAAAGGGAGACAGCCTCAAATAACCGAAAAAAAGGGAGCTGTGTGTTGGAATGCCGTATTGTGTAAAAGTAAGTCAGAGTGGTATAACTGGGGAAAAAATCATGTATAATCTCATTCATATTACTGTTCCTTATAATGATCATGTTTAAGGTGTGAACACCAATGTAAAACTAACCTTTATGATCATTAATCTTATTTTATTCATGAAAATAGACTTGTATTCATAGTTGGCCTGTAAAAAACACTCAAGTATTTTTAAAAATATTTTATTATTTTATGTGTATGCGTGTATTGCCTGCACGTAGGTGAGTGCACCTGTGTTGTGCAATGCCCACGGAGGACAGAAGAGGCCGTTGCGTCTCCTGGAACTGGAGTTACAGACAGTTGTTAGCTGCCATGTGGGTGCTGGGATTCAAACCCAGGTCTTCTGCAAGAACAGTGTTCTTAACCATTGATCCATCTCTCCAGCCCCAAAACACTCAAGTTTTTAATTCCTCTCAGATTTGCTTTTTATCACTTCCCTCCTGTAGTGGTTTGAATGAGAATATCCCCCATAGGCTCCAAGTATTTGGACATTTTGTCCCGTTGGTGGCACTGTTTTGGGAAGTCTTAGAAGGTGTAGCTATGCTGGAGGTGGGCTTAACAGAGTTCTTAAGCCTTGCCGGATCTCCAGTCACTTTCTTGCTTCCTGCACCCACTTGAAGATGTGAGAGCTTAGCTTCAGCTCCCCCTCCAGCCACCTCTGCCACCATGCCTCCCCACCAAGATGGACTATAATTCCCCCGGAACTGTAAGCTCAAATAAACTCTTACTTCTATAAATTGGTCAGTGTTTCTATCACAGCAACAGAAAAGTAAGTAACATACCTCCACTCCCTCTTTTCTTTTCTGAGACAAGGTTTTACACTGTAGTCCAGCTGACCAGGAGCTATACAGTCCAAGTGGGTCTGAATTGGTGGCACTTCTCCTGCCTCAGCTTCCTGAGGTCTGGGATTACAGGCATGTGCCACTATACCTGGTTCATTCATTACTCTTTTACTATTTCATAAAATGGAACCATACTTCCTAGTTCTTATTTAAAACTTATATATTTTATTTTTTAATAATTATAGACTTACTAGAAATTGTAAAAATAGTACAAAATCCCATGTACCCTTTACGCAGTTTCCCCCAGTTGTAAGCTCTTCTACAACTGTAGAACTACATAATCAACATTATGGCAATAGTATATTACTGCTAAGAAGACTACAGACTTTATTCATGTCCAACAAATTTTACATGCATTTTTGTGTATATAAACCTGTTAGTACAGGAATATTCATGTACTAAACAAAAGATTCAAGATACAAAACTATTCCATCAGCTCAAAGGAACTCTTGTGTCATCCTGCTATATTTATAGCTATGCTATACATTATCCAGTCCCTACTCATAGAAACCATTAATCTGCTATTCTCCATGATTCTGATATTTCAGCAAGGAACCTTTTGAGACTAGCTTTTTTTCATTCACCTAATATTTCCCAAGGCTCATTTATTAGAGGTCTGTTCCTTTCCATTGCAGAGTACAATTCCATGGTGGGAATGGCTTGTTTAACCATTTACCCTTGCAGAACATCTGTGTTGTTTCCAATTTGGGGCTATCACAAATAAAGCTGCTATATAAAATTTTGTACAAGTTTTTGTGACAATACAGTACAACTGCTGGGTCATATGGTATATGTGTTTAACTTTACAAATTCTTCTACAGAGCATTTATATTTTATTTTACATTCCTGTCACCCATATACTTGACATCCTCAACAGCATTTGGCATTTTCACTATTTTTTTCTAGTCATCCTGATAGGTATATATTGCATCCTACTGTCATTTTAATTCGTATTCCCTGAAGACTTATGAAGTTCAACATATTTTCACATGATTACCTGCCATCTATAAATCTTCTCTGATGAAAATGTCTACTCACATTTTTTCTCATTTTCTGATTGGATTTTTAAAATTTTTGAGTTTTGAGCATATTGTGCTTTCCATAGTGATCAGATTCTATATGGCTTACAAATAATTTCTTGTTTTTCCTCTTAATTTTTCAAAAGATTTTATTTCTAATTATGATGTGTATATGTGTGTATGTCTGTGTGTGGGTTTGTGCATATGAGTGTAGTGCCTGCAGAGGCCACAAGACAGCAATGGATCTCCTACAACTGGAGTTACAGGTGTTTGCGAATGTTGGGAACTAAACTCAGGTCCTCTGGAAGAACAGCAAGTACTACTAAAAGTTGAGCCTTCTTTTGACTATTCTTTTTAATTTTTTACAGAGTGAAAAATTAACTTTGATGAAGTCCACTATATCTACTTTTTTTTCTGGTGCACTGTGTTTTTTAATTGAACTCTAAGAACTTGTCTTCTGAAGATTTTTCTCACAAGATTTTTTTAAAAAAGTTTCCTAGCTTACATTTAAATCCATGATACATTTTGAGGTACTTTTATAGAAGGCATAAGATTTAGTTGAGGTGCTTTAGAATTTATCTTCTTCTGTTGGCCTGTGGGGTTTTAATGGCTTCAACATAAATTGTTGAAAGGATAGTCCTTTCTTCACTGAATCACTTTTGTACTTCAAAATTCATTGAGCACGCTATTGTGGACTTATTTCTGGATTCTCTTTTCTGCTCCATTGATCTATATGTCTACCCTTCTGAAAATATACTATCATGAGTACTGTAGCTTTTTAAGTTTTGAAGTTATGTAATGCGAGACCTCCAACTTTATCTTCTTCAAAATTGACTTAGCATAATAATAAGTTGTATGCTGGGTATTTTCATCTGCCCTATAAGAAAAAAAATAAGAAAAAAAATTATTTCTGCTTCATTGATCTATATGTCTACCCTTCTGAAAATATACTATCATGAGTACTGTAGCTTTGTAAGTTTTGAAGTTATGTAATGCGAGACCTCCAACTTTATCTTCTTCAAAATTGACTTAGCATAATAATAAGTTGTATGCTGGGTATTTTCATCTGCCCTATAAGAAAAAAAATAAGAGAATTATGGTGGTGGAGAATTAGAGAAAATATAGCATCAACATTCCATATATTCTGAGTAGTTTTATATAACAGAATTCGTTTTTGGATCCAATTTAAGTGTGTAACAGAAATAAATCTTGGCTTTCTGAACTCTTGCAGAACACTGTTATAGTAATTACTCTTTGAAGGGATGGAAGGTTAGAGTATGTCTACTAGCTGATGTATTGACCACCTTAGCACATTTCCCTGATTTTTCATTTTCCTGACTTTTTAAAAAATATTTTTTTAAATATATTTTTAAAAATTTCATTTATTATTTTTATTTTATTATTTTATGTGTATGTGTGTATTGCCTGCATGTAGGTAAGTGCACCCGTGTTGTGCAATGCCCCTGGAGGTCAGAAGAGGCTGCTGGATCCCCTGGGACTGGAGTTACGTACACTTCTTAGCTGCTATGTGGGTGTTGGGATTTGAACCCGGGTCTTCTGAAAGAACAACCAGTGTTCTTAACTGCTGAGCCATCTCTCTAGCCTCCCATTTCTCTGACTTTTAACATTATTTTAACCAATGACATTTCACGACCAAGGGTATCCTTGGATTTTTTTTTTTTTTGGTCTTTTTGAGACAGGGTCTCCCTGTAGTCCCAGGTGGCCTTGGAACTCGCTATGTAGACCAGGCTGGCCTTGAACTCACAGAGATCCGCCTGCCTCTGCCTCTGCCTCCTGAATGTTAGGATTAAAGGTGAGCTTATATATTTATTTTTATTTTATGTGTGCAATGCCTGTGGAGGCCAGAATAGAGCACTGGATTCTCTGGACCTGGAGTTTCAGTTGTTAGCTACCATGTGGTTTCTGGGAGCCAAAACTTTGCTCTTAACCACTGAGTCATTTTTTCAGCCCCATAGTCAAACTTTTTGAAACATGATTTTTTTTTAAATTTTATATGTATGCATGTATTGCCTGCATGTAGATAAGTGCACCTGTGTCGTACAATGCCCACACAGGTCAGAAGAGGCTGTTGGATCCCCTGGGACTGGAGTTACGGATAATTGTTAGCTGCCACGTGGGTGCTGGGATTTGAACCCGGGTCTTCTGCAAGAACAACCAATGTTCTTAACCGCTGAGCCATCTCTCTAGTCCCTTAAAGCATGATTTTTATATCAAATTAAATCCTAATGTTTCTAGAAAATCATGTTTATATTGTAATTGAATTGTTAGAATCTGCTCAGTAGGAATTTGCTTCAAAGTCAAATATGGTAGAACTTGTTTGCTTGCTAAAATGGGCACTCACACAGGTTCAAATTTAGGTACATATTTTACATATTTTAGAGATCAAGAAGGAAATCACAAGACATGTTTCTCAGGGACAGCAATGAATACAGGCAAGTGCTGATGAGTCACTTGTATATTCTTCCAATAACCCTACAGTACTTATGATTTACTTGCCCAGCCAAAGCATCACAACTATAAGTTAAACACAAAGTGCTTTTTCCTTCATCTTATTATATAGGATGGATATATCTGAAAACAAAAATAAATACTTCAAAGTTTTAAAACTTTATGCTGGACATTTTCATTTAGAATAAACATTTAATGCCAGACATAGTGGCACAGGCTTTAATCCCAGCACTCGGGAGGTAGAAGCAGGTGGATCTCTATGAGTTTGAGGTCAGCATGGTCTACATAGTGAGTTCCAGGACAGACAGGACAACATTCTGAGACTCTTGTTTCAAAAAGGAAAAAAAAAAAAGAATAGATATTTAAAAAATTTAAAACATACTCATCAGCTATTTTATTCCCAGATATTCCTTGCTAATGTGACTCCCACAGCCTTTACAAAGTAACTTTCATATTGTATTTAAATAATTTCATATGTTTTATTTTAGATCAGTTATAAGTAGGAGGATTCAATAAACTCTAGTGAAATTTGAGGAAAACATCTTGTGTTTATTACAAGAAAGTTATTTATTGAGATGTAAAAAGGCTGTATTGTCTGTCATGTAACAGTTGCATGTAGTTTTGGACCATGTTTAGTATCCACACTGAAAAAAAAAAAGCTTACCACATTTCTTTCCTCTTCCTTTATTCTAAGGAAGAAAGCTCTTCCATAAGCTTTTCCTTTTCTTGTTGCAACTCCTGCAAATGCTGCTGGTTTTGCTCCAATCTGTCTTCCAACCACTGTAGGAGAGGCCCACTGACTGCTGACATTTGACTGCACAAATTCTTGGTAAACACTTTAATAAGAAAAAAAGCAGCAAATGAGAGAACTGTGGAAGAACAGTGCCCACTGGCATGTCCCCACTCTAGCACCAAGAATGCCTCAATTGTGAGCACAGAAGAAAAGGGCTTCAAGGAACAAGTACAAGTAGGACTGACTGATAAATGACTTTCCTATAGCTGACTAGAGGAAAAACAGAAGAGCTCAGCAAAGAAGATACCTATTCGGAGCTATTTTGAACCCTTGGATTCATAAACCAGACAGAAATCTGGCTACGTAAAGAGCAGAAAGATAGTTGGTTCTTTAATTTCTTAAAGCAAAAGGTCTAAGAAAGCACAGAAGGATTCCCTTCTCCAACCTTCACACACTGTAAATGATTCTGCCTTTTAGGTTTCCACAAAGCCCTGCAAGAAGACTGATACTAATTCAACTTACCTGAGAGATCCTCTTTCAAAACGAGAAAACAAAAAGGATGAAGCATAAAGGAGTTATCTTTGATTTCTTACCAAAAATGTTCAATTTCATGGCAAGACAAAGATTCCATGGAACAAATTCGTCTTAATAAAAATACTTTTTTGCTCATAATACATGATTATTATTGGAAATTGGCCCGGTAATACCATGTGGCAGTTTCCCGTGTGTGTATGTGTGTTTAAAATGTATGTATGTTATGTGATTTAACATAAAACAAGCATTAATTTGGGTGCTAATTTCCCCCACATAGCAGTATATCATAGACATCTTTCTGTGTCAATAAAATAATCTAACTTGCTTTCTTAAGGACTACATAATATTCATTTGAATGGACATGGCAATTTAATATGTCCCTTACACTGGGAATACACATGGTATCTCATTTTTGTTATTATATAAAGATATTATGTAGAATTATTAGATCTAAGTTCATATATATATATATATACTTTTTTACTGTTTTTTTTTAAACTTTATTGAGAATTTCATGCATATAAGGTGTTTTGATCAAATGATCAAATCCACACTCACTCCCTCGCCTCCAACACCTCCCATATCTCCCCATCACTTTTTTCTGACAACTTTGTGTACTCCTTCCTTCCTTCCTTCCTTCCTTCCTTCCCTCCCTCCCTCCCTCCCTCCCCCCTCGCTCCCTTGCTCCCTCCTTTTATAATGGGGCCTTTGCTACTCTAACATTCCCCCCTCTGTAGAGGTAACCCTAAAATCTTTTAGGGATCAGAAAACAGCTCCCAAATTTTCACATTTCGGGCCTTTGGAACAGAGTATGTTGCTAAGAGACCCAAGGACATTTCTGACTTTTAGCCAAGAAACTAGCTACTTTTCTTTGGGGTATTTTTACCCTAACTGCCTAGCCAATTCCTACCTCCTATTCTTATCACACCATCCTCTGATGAGGTCACCCAAATTGCCAATAGGGAATAGGGACGCAGACCGCTCTGGCTTCTTCCATGCTGAACAGGGACGCAGA